AATACTTAAAGAAAAACATTGAATGTATCAGCATCTTAATTATATGCTATAATTTTTAATAAGAGGGTATGAGTGAAATTATTAGTATAGTTGGAATGTATACTTTAGGTTATCAAGTAATGAACAACACAAATATTTTTAAAGCAGCACATACTGAAAAATACATTTGTACATGTGATGATTTATTGCTGTGCTACCTGTTATTGCAGGGTTTTTGTTTTGGTTTTTGAAGCAACATAGCTAAAGCAGTAATTTAATCCACTTGAAAAGATGATTATTATTTTTTCTACGGGAAATGCCTTCTCACTTTTACTAGCAACTTTGAAGCTAAACATTCTTCACTTAAGAATGGTAGGATGCTTAAATAATAATCAATCACATCTTCCCTTTTTGGCATCCAAAAAAGTACATTAGTTTAACATTAAGTAACACCGTAATGAAAACCTTAAAGTGCAAGCATAGCTATTTGACTTGTTTGTACCACATATTAAGTTTATATTTTATTTGGGCTAGAAGCTGTCATCATTCTCAAAGATCTTAATTATTTAAAAGTAATGGACCGGAGTTCATGTGCCTGGAACTAAATCTAACAGGCTGTGCTATATGCTATAAACTCAAATCGGAAAAAAAATGCAACACTGAGCCAGCTCTCATCTTCAAGCCCCACTCGAATCAGTGGGAATTGAACAAGAGCAGGAGCAGATATTTTCTCAACTAACATCCATTCAATTCAATGGAGCATGCTTAAGAATGGATTGTGCTCATTACTTCTGAAATTGTATTTTCAATGATCTCATCAAAGCTATATGACTCTTAATATTTCCATATATGTTATTCTATGGATTGGATTCAAACTTTATGCTTACAGTAGCCCCACTGAAATCAATGGCAAAAAAGCAACACCTGCAATTTTTTAATATTTCAAAGAAGGAAACTGTGAAATACAAAACATGCTTAAAATGAATAAAAATGGCCAATATGCTTTTCAGAAGTTTAAAGACACAATTTGATAAATTAAGCTGTCAAAACAAATGTATGTTTTTATATGAGGATACATTTTAAAATAAAGAATTTAGATTTGTAAATGAAAAACCTTTGCTTTTTAAAATTTAATTTTCTAGCTCCTAGGTCCTAATTCATACTCTAATCTGTAATTTTTGCAGATGACCCATATTAATCTACGTTGCCATGTACTGCATACATATGATTAAAAATGGAAGAGATTAATTCCAGAAACATCATCATATCACTATAATAGGATATTACTGCACTAAGGGCTTCTGTAAATCCTTACTGAAATTACCTCAATGCTGTTTAATAACACTCTTATACAGGTCTACTTATACATAAAACCCATTTAGTTCAACGGGGTTTACTCTCAGGTGAACTGATATACAATTACACTGTAAGTATCTCACTGTAAGCAATGAAGTTTATATTCAAATCCCATTCATCAATATTATAATAAAATATTGTATTAAGATATGCAATTTTAAGTCTGAAAATTGTTTGAATACTGAAAATGTTTGTGAAGCTATCGTTTTCATCTACTAATGCTTAAATGCAATAAAATTTATCTTAGTGTATCACAGGCCCAATTTGTGTATGATCCCAGTGAATTACGAGATCTTTAAGAGCCACATTGCTGTAATTTGGCAGAATGTAGAAATGTTGCAGGACAGAAAAGATGCATTAAGTTTTATTGGATGCTCATCATTCTCACTCAAGACAATTTTAGAATACAAAAAACATTTTTATCTAAATCATGACTAATTCTTAACCCTAAAGCATCTCACAAACATCTCATGTGTGAATTAATCTGAGTTTAATGCAAGTACTATTTTATATTATTAATTTTAAATGGAAGAAATCTGGAAGGGGAGCTGAAATGTCATCTAATTTTGCAATATCTGTTGATACTTAAACATGTCTACTGAACTGCTAAGCCACAATCTTTTGTTTTTTTTAAATATTACAATTACAACAAAGATGTGCTGTGTAAGCCCATACATATCTATTCACAAATAAAACCCATTTAATTAAGTGGGACTGACTACCACATAGATGTGAATAGAGAGCAACCTTAAGGAAGGCTGAAATAGTATTTGACAAAGCAGTCCTATTAGTACTGAAAATCTTTTAAATGTTAAAGCAATTCTTTTTTCAAACCTGCAATGACAAGAATGGTTAATCTCTTTAAAAAAAAACCCAAAACCAAAAAACCTATTATCTGTCTTCAGTAAGACCCTTTAACAGGTTTTGTTAAATTTTATCACACTAGAATGATCTTCTGGCTCTAGGCTTTAACCATAGAACATTATTTTTGTTATAGCATTTGTAGTGAAAGAAAATAATTAACTTAAATTTTCTAATAAAGACTTTAAAATTGGGAAAAGAGTAAAACAAGCTTCAATGAGCCTTATGTTCATGATAATGTTCAGCAAAAAACATGAAAGAGCAACATTAACAAGGTACAGAAGACAACACTGAAGAAGTTAAGATATTTTTAGCTCAATTTAAGTACATCCTCCTGTTCAACATATCTTAAATTATAGAAGAATTTTTGATGCCAATCATTTTAGTACTTGTAATAAAACAAGTTATCATAGCGGGATTAGTACTCCAATAGAGTTCTGTGATAACCCAGTAACCATGCATGTTTCAGAGTTGAAAATGTGTGCAAAAGACAGTAACACATTTTCATTTTGAAACAGTTTATTGTATGGAGTTTAAATTTCAACAGGCAGAACCACAGTCCTCAAATAAAACTTATCCCACCAAAGTATCTACTTTATTTCACATAATATAGTATCCAGTATAGGTTCTTGTACCGGTTTTTCTTAAAGGCAGTTCTCAGCTAGGTCTGAAGCAACTAAAAGAAAGCAAAATCTTGATGATAATGTTGAAAAGTACGGAACTTAGGATACAGTGCTACATTTCTCAAAGATTGTTTTAGCAGCAAAGCAAATATTTTACTTCAGCAGAAAAAATGAAACTGAACATATTTTCTGGATGGATGAATAAATGCAACTACTAGTAAGAAATACAAACCATGAAGTACATAGCTTAATTTATTTTCAATTGCAGTCATTTTATTTTGAAAATTGTATTATCCCACATTATTGTACAGTATGGCTGTACATTAGTTTTGACTATTTCTCTCCTTATTGTATGCATTTGTATGTGTGCATACATTCACGCACCCTGGTGCACTTGCGTGTGTAAGAGGAAGGAGTCAGTTCTTTCTACATTAAATAAAAGTGTAAAATACCACTTAATTGCTATCAAACATAATGTGCTTATTGCTTCACATTATGTGATGTATATAAGACTGAGCCATTTAATCACATTTTTAACTATCTTGAACATGGTCAAAACCAAGCAAATTCACTGAGACTAGTTTCAAGTGTAATCATCTTGCATGCCCTCTAATTTTTAGTATGAAAGCATTGCATGATTATATATCAATTTTATATCAATGTTCAGGAAACTTGCCCAACTGACCTACTCATGCTAGCTTTACTGATAAAAGTGAGAGAGCTCTATTCCTGTTTTTATCTTGTTGTTTTACTGCCGCTTCTAAACCTTGAAGGATTTTGCCTTGCAAAGGTAAAAGCTATTACAAGGTTACTATAGTGTCATACCTTATGGAAGAACTTTTTACATGGAAAGAATAATGAGCTAGGAAGTAAAAGTGCATATCTATGACATTATGTGCAATTGTACACATGTACACAAGTGAACATCAACATTTGCTCTTAGATTACAAGTACATTTCTGTCTCCTACCCAAGTACACAATATTAAAGCAAATATTACAAAACTTGATACTGATTTTAGTCATAATGATTTTAAATCACTGATTTAAAAATCACAGAATTTTAAAAGGCTTAGGTGGTAGAAAAGACTACTATAAGCTTAATCAATGCTACTACTGCTACTACCCGTAGCAAACTCTACATTCCTTAAGTCAATTGGAATTCACATTGCAGAGATAAGATTCTTACTTTCAAACCAACAGTCTGAATTTTACATGCCATAAATGAACTTAAAATTCAGAAGAATTAAGCCTAAACCAAAGACAGACCTTACAGTAAATATACCAACTCTACTGAGATGGAGTAAAAGTTTAAACAATTCAGTTATTTTAAAAATATTTTTAAAATGTACATCTGTTAACATATGTTGGGTTATTTTACTATTTATTTTTAAAACCATGATCTGGTAATTGCAGCTTACCAAATGCTTAAGTTTTTTCCTTAGTTTATGCTAATTTTTCAAAATTTTGTGAAATATCCAGAGTAACTTTTGGTCAATATAGGTGTATAATAAATAAAATATGCACTATAGCAGAGGCTTCAAAAGTAGACACTGATCAGGATTACAGACCCAGCCTCTTCTCTCTACAATCTAGTGTAATAAAGACAGAGACCTTTTTGACTAGACAATTAGCAAACTATCTCCGTTTTAAAGATTTTACCAGGAACGTTTTGGGACCCTAGTCTACCAAGCTATGTAATATTGACCAATCAACCTGATAGGGGCAGACTTTTTTCCCTCCTATAGTGGAAAATGGAATTGGCAATTTTTGGTAATTTTAGTGTAAACTATTTGAGACAGCCACTAGTTCTATTTAACAGGTGCCAGTCATTACCCAAACATTTCATTGTCTACTTTTTCTGCCTACTCAATCCCATCAACTTTCTAGTTAGTATATATTAATTTTGACAGATATAGTTTAGTACCTTCATAAAACTTAGAATGGTGTTACTTGGCGAATACCATAATTTTTGATTTTCTAACTGTAGTGCAAAATAGTAAAAAGATTTTAGAATATAGCTTTTGAAAAATTTCAATTTGCCTAATATTTTTTGATGCTTCAAACAATAACCATATTATTCATAAAGGAAGAGGAATTCATACAAAAAAGGTAATAGATAAACACATTATATTAAAAATACTCTACAATGGTAATGTTTAAAAAGGGGAAAAGACAACTAATTGATTTCTCAGTATGTATAATTTATTGCAGTTAGCACACAGTTTAAAAATTCACCAACACACCAATAGTACAAAACTAAACAGCATTATAAGTTATTCCCCTCCCCTCAGGAAAATAAAACATACTATGATTGTCAAAGCTAGATGTCAGTCTAATTTTTAGAACCAAAAAAGAATGTGAAACTAAAGGGCAACCCCCCCACCCCAGAAAAACAATCACTCACGTCCACAAAAAAAAGTAGTCCATTTTTCCAGACACTGATTGTCTTTTCTAAATTAATAAAAGAATGTATTTTTAAAACCTAGAGACTATTCAAGTAACTAAAAATAATGCTCCAAGGCCATTTTCACAGCTTTTTTTGTTTTAAATGCCATTACAGCCAAATTAACATACATTAGACCAAAATATTTCCAAAACAGTCCAGCAATACACAATGGAGTTTTCCATTCAGTTTCTTAAGCACAAAAATAGGCTATGTTTACAGTAGTTAAGGCGATCAAATTCTAAACAAAAGCAGAAAGAAGAGAAAACAATTTTCCATGCTACTCCCATAGACCTTATTTGTAAGTGCAAGACAGGAAAACAAACACTGTGCAAAATGCTTTTGCCCTGTGTGTTGATCATTAAAACCACACGTCAGGCTGCAGTCTTTGCTGCTTGGATACACATTTCACAAACCCTCCCCCAACTTTTCTCCCTCGGCTCCCCCACCCCACCCTATTCCACCCCATGTCAATCAAGGTTTTCTAGTCCTTTCAGCCTGGGGCTTTTTCACTCCACAGAATCTTTTCAAGGGGCGAAAAATGAATGACCTATTGTTAATTTGTGCAGCAGGAATTCTAAAAATGTTCATATGGGTAATGTATGCATCTAAAGTTGGAGCTGGCATGGGTTTTGTGCAATCAGATTTTTCTTGATAAATGTACACTGCACATGCAAATCTCTAAGCCTGTTTGTAAACATTACTATCTTCCTTTACATAGCTAAAATCAACATGTAGCTTTTGTTCAACTTAAAGACAGTGGGCAATTAATTTAAATTATATAAAATAAAAAACAGTGCATTTATGTTCTTCATAACACCAATTTTTCCAATGGTGTTTTTTTCCTACAAAAAAATTAAATAAGTTTTAAAACTCACTCATTAAAGTTATACAATGCAAACAAAGACAAAAATATACTGAAACGCATGCATTTCTGTAGCATTAATATTTACTTTTCAAGACTCAACCGAGAGCATTAACACAACTTGTCAATTTCCTTGACACCCCCCAGCCCATTTAATCAATTACAGTATACAACAGTAATTCACATTTTTAAATGCACAGTTCGCAGCTGCTGAAGCTGCAACATCCTTTTTCATCCCAAGCACACCTTCATAGAGTCCCAGCAATTCCAGTGTATTTTCAAAAATCTGCAGTGGTTGTTGTTGGGGTTTTTTGTTTTGTTTTTCTTTTTAATTGGGAACTGTTGTATTCCACAAATTACAATAGCTCAACTGCTTGTTTAAAAATAGATACTCCAGCATTTCAGAAATTTATCGCTTGGGTCTAAAAGCATTCAGGTTTCCCACAGATAGAAAAAGATGCATGCAGTTTTAAAAATTGAACCAAATTATAAAATACTGGAGGGGTATCTGTTCATGTTTTAAATGGAGTTTAAAATGATGCAGTGTTGCAATAAGGTTAAATATCACACTTGTTCATTTGCAGTTTTATTTAAAAGAAGTACTTACTTGATGATGAGACATGGGAATTTTTTTAATGAAGTTTATTAGTCTCATTACTATAGTTCATATTATCAGAGCACTAAGTAGTGAAATGTTCATGCCGCCTTAAAGTGCATAAAACAAGCTAATGGCCAAACTTTCAGTTCAAGGAAACAAGACTGCTTTTAGACTGTACCACAACTATATAGATTTATTTATATTTATATATATATATATATTAATTATATATAAAAATTCTATTTCCAAAGTTCTTGTGAGCTATCTTCTAATGTCCAGTCTCTGACAGTAGGTAAGCTCAGTGCTTCACTTTTGACAGACAATGAGTTCACCAACTCACAGTGAAACTTCCGAATATGTCTGTAAAGGTCTCCAGACTGTGTGAACCTGCGCTCACACCACTTACAAGCATGTGGCTTCTCCCGTGTGTGAACTACAGCATGGCGGCTCAGATTGTGGGAGTACTGGAAGCTCTTTCCACACTGGGTGCAAGTGTAGGGTTTTTCACCTGAATGAGTCCTCTCATGACGCTTCAAGGTGTACATGCAAGAAAAAGTCTTACCACACAAGGAGCAGGTTGGGACATTGACATCTGTGGCAGGCTTGCTACGGATCCCGTCCTGCTCTCGAAAGTGCGTACTTAAGTGAATCTGCAGAATGTGGGGACTAGGAAAGACCTTGTTGCAGAGGGGACACATGAAAATTTGGCCTGCTGGGTTAAGTATGTTGGAGACATAGGGGAGCAGACTGCTGTCCATGTTCCCTTCTACCTGAACTCTCTCATTCTCTGGCGTTATCATTTCATCATCACTTGCTTTGTCCTCTCTATCTAGCTCCCTTAAAACAGAATCTTCCCTCATAGGAGCCAGATGGGCTGGCTCATACGGTACCCTGTTATTAGTGCTCACACTTTCTTTCACAGTGCTATGTTCCATGTCATAGTCATTAGTGCCAACATCACTCTCATCACAAGAAGCCTCTTTCTCCACCTTCACCTGCACCAGGTTGTTTCTAATTATGTCCTGTGAAGAGAAATAAGAACTGTTCAAATTCTCAACTCCGGAAAGGCTTGACTTGACAGACAAGTCCAGGACACAGTCAACATCTGCTGAATCCCTCATGGAGGTGACAGACCTCTGGGACAAAGATTCTGTTGAGCTGCAGGGGCTGGCTACTGTTTTTCCAGCTGCTGTTGCGTGTGTCTCTGTCTCTCCACCACTCTGGGGAATGCCTGCTGAGTCCGAGGGCAATCTCATCCACATGTTCCCAGGCTCGGCCACCAAGTCCCTTTTGCTAGGCAGAATGCTCAATTTTTCATCTTCCCCTTCATCTTCATCACTGGGTATATCTCCTGCAATGTGGCTACTGCCATCAGAGAGACTCTCTACTTTGTCCGAACAACTCGATGCATCTTCTTCCTTTTTAGTACTGTCTGCCTCCGTGGTGGCTTTTTCTTTTAGCTTCTTTTTGCAGACTTTGACAATGTCATACATGTGGAGATAACTGGCAGCTGCTAACACATCTTCAATGGGCAAATCTTTGAACTGGAGCTTCCCTTCATACATGAATTCAAGCAGGAGAGCGAAAGCTGGGGCTGTAACAATGTCGCTGTTCAGATGAACAATGTCTCTTTTGTCCAGCTGGTCCTTGTAAAATAGGTGGAAATACATGCTGCATGAAGCCAGTACAGCTCTATGTGCTCGGAACTGGGCATCTCCTACCAGAACAGTGCAGTCACAAAGAAAACCCTGATGTCTCTGCTCACTCAGACACTGTAGTAAATGCCTACTATGGTCAGGAAACTCCATGCTTTCTTCATAACCTAGAAGCAAAAAGATTTATTTAAACGTTAGTAGCCATCAGTATGCCTACACAACTGAATTTGATACTTGTAACAATTTTTAAAGATGTAGAGTTATTTAATGAATCATATTTGTAGCATGCAACAAATCGTATAGATAAATTAGTCAGCTGTTCATGACTTCTTCCTGTTCTGCTATCTCCTGAAGTTTCTACAGTTATATTAACAGTCATTTAACTATAAAGAAGCAAGTGTGGGGGAATCAAGTATTGAACTTTATGAAGTTAAATGTTACAACCAATCTCACTGTGTGAAGGCAGAAACAAAAACTTGCAATGTAACATACATAATCCTACAGAGACTGGGGTGAAAATCATCTTTAACTGATCAAAGAGACATCTGTGAATGCTAAGCTTTTCAAAAACAAAATTGGCAAAATAATAGAATGAGGGAAAAAACTTTAAAAGAATTCATTAACATGCATTTATACAGAAGAAGTTGCCCCTCTGTTAAGAATCTTAAACATAAGGAGAAGGTTTTCCACTGGTATGCCGTAATAACACTAAAGAATTTCAGCAAGATTTTGTCATTTTTCCTCTTTCTGGCTAATATCGTTAGCCAGAAAAATGATACTGATGGTTTGTTTTGGATAATCATTATTTTTAGAGGGAAAGGTTTTCAAAATGAGTATTAAAAGTTTCTATTTAAAAAGCTTAACTATTTTTCTCATTTCTTTGACTTGTAATCAAAGTTGTACTAAACCAGTTACATACAACAGCTGCACATTTGAACATAGAGACATGTTCTTAAAGTTACAATCCTGTCCCAAGTACATTCTGGGAAATACTACTGCTAGAATAAAGCAAGAAGATTTACAATACAATCACTTTAAGTGCCCCACAGCCAACATCAATCCTAATCCTTAAGAGGGCTAAAAATAAAGATTGGAGGGCAGCTCACAAGGTAGCTGTGATCAAATTAGGAGGCTGAAAGGACAGAGAGGGACGAAGAAGGAAGCTTATAAACATCTGATCCAGCTGACTGTGGCCATATGGCAGCTGCTGCCCAGATAAAGAGATTAAGAATAGAGGAGTGCGATTACAGCTGTCTGGCCAATTCAGGCAGCTCAAATCTACAAGTTCTAAATTAGTCGTGAACACAAAAACCTCCCCTCAAACAATTACTATCATATTGAAAGAAACTAATATATAACCAAGATAGAAAAAAAGTGGGTACTAGCCAAGTTATTTTCAGAGGAGGGGAGATCCTAAAGTTTGACATACACATGATTTCCATTTGTTCCAAAAACAGGAATGTTGTAGACTGAGATTTCTCAGCAGCTTTGTCTTCATAAATAAAGTTCAATAGCAGTAACTGCTATGTACTTCATTTGCTATCATACATGTCATTCTTTCTGCTTCTTTATCCTTAAAAGCAGTACTATTATTACATTCATAACTACTATATTGCCATCATAATTACTAACTACAATATGAATTGCTATCTCAGTACTCAAGAGAATAGAAACAGCGGGACTACACCATTTAAAGAGTTACTTTTGATACAACTGCACAAGAACAAATACATGTTTTCCAAGCTTTAATTACACTATGAACTATTATCCTTTTTTCTCTGGGTTGTGCTTTTTCTTCCTTAGTCTCATTAAACAAGTAATGAGATTTTTATTCTGAAATTAAATAAACACCAAGAGAGAAACATACTGTAGCTAGCCTACTGCTGTTCCTACCTTTAGCACACATAAACCTGATTAAGTCCTTTTGTCCGAGTCTTGCTGGCTCCAGGTCTGTTAGATCGGTGGAAAAAAGCAGACTAAGAGAGACAGATGCAAAGTGGAGATGATGTTAGAGAGGAATGAGATACCTTCCCTACACACAGATCTGCAAACACACTCACTCCCTGTCTGTGTGTTAGAATAAAAGGCTGAGGGATGGCAGGCTGTCAGCTGCTCTGACATCATGTTCAGATGGAAATGCTACCTCCAGCTGTGCTCCTTTTAATGCCATATGCTACTCCTCTACACTCCTGCCACCAGCTTTTTCTTAGGAGAACTTTTCTTGTCTGTTAGTATAAACAAAATACTTCAAAGTCTCTTTTTTCAAAACTTTCTAACAGAGAAAAGTAAAAAAAAAATCTTTAAACATATGGGGCTCCACTGCATGTACAGTACAGCCACCCTTCTGTCATAACTTTGTGGAGTCTTTTATACATTGCAAACTTACTCAAGCCATTATAATCTATTTTTTCCTTCAAAACCCTTAAGTTCAATTGAAAAGATTACTTTTACCTAATAACTTTAGCTTAGCACACAATTCACCCCTTCCATAGATTTAATAGTTTTCTTTAAAATAACAAACAACCAGTACAGATATCAATGCAATCATATCTTGTCAAGGCATAGACATAGCTATTTAAAAAATTGATTGCTTAAGAATTTCTATTCAGTAATGAAGCTATTCACTTAATATAAAATACAGAAGGAATGCAAATCCAAGTTGCAGTGCAGATTTTTTTCACTTGTAATTATGGTCTGTACAGGCCAGGGATAGCAATAATTCCCCCACCCCCACTCCAATACTACACTGCCTGCATTGCAAAATACTCTATTCCATTTTCAAAGGAGTGTTGTAAAGTATAATATATTTAGCCTGTGGCTATATAAACAAAACTAATTTTGTTTTTAATTAGTGAGACAACAGCACTACCACCTACATTAAAAGATATTTATTACTACTTTTGTTATGAACTCCATTTACATGGTAGGAAAATATCAGTGACTGGGAAATCATATAAAATGAGATGGACTGTCCTACAGGGCAGAATGAACAAGTTACCAGCTTAACTCTTTTAGGCCATCATCTAACTTAATGTTCAATGAAATAAGTTCTCCACACCATTTACTCATAACTATGCATCCATGCTTTACTGCAGTAGCTCTCAACTCCAAGGCTTGGTCTGGTTGCTACTATTAAGAAAACGCCAAAAATGGGGAGGGGCACTGCTGGACAAATATGGGTGCACAGCTTATGGTGGATAAAAACTCACTTTTTAACCGAGATACGCAAAGTTGAAGATTTCAGCAATTATAACTCGGTCTACCCACTGTGCAGAGACCAGAAAGAGTGCACAGAAGGGGGAGGTGGGAGAGGAACAGCAGCACAGACAGGAAAGAAGGAAGCAGCCAAGTGCAGGAACAGACCAGAGCACAGAAGCCAAAGCAACAACAAAAGGAAAGTAACTAGAAGAGCTGAACACAAGAGTTTTGGGAGGGAGCAGAGCTCTCCTCTCACCCTTCTTATCTACTCCGCCTTGTCTCTACAGCTGCATTACTCTCCACATCACCTACCCCCCTGACCTTCCGAGCTGCAAGACAAAACAGATACACTCTGCCTCTGCCACACACAAAGGGCTCCCCGCGCTGCTCCCGAGCACAGCCCAGCCCCCCCACCCCCAGCAAAACCTCCTCTCCCACCCTGCGTGTGAGGCTGCAAACTCAGAGCCTTGAAAAGTCTTACTGAGGGGGCTGATCCTTCCCTATCCTCGATTTACAACCTGCTCTGTATCTGCCCTTCTCCCTATCGCTATGTAACCCTTTCCTAAGATACCCACCTCCTTCTGCCCCAAAACAGGCTCCTCTCCATCCTGACCCAATAACCGCCTGACCCCTCTTCTAACCCCAGCGCAGTCCTCAGCGTTACGACACCTCTCGTTTCCTGGCCCTTGACTGCGGAGCTGGCTTCCAGAAGCACCTTCCACCTCTGCTCCACCCAGCCACCCACCCCACACAGACGCCCCCTCCCTGCCCCACCTGTTAAGTCCTTTGCCCCTCACTTTCAACTGCGCATTGCCATACTGCAAAGCTTCCCGGTGTCCACAGCCTCTCTGGATCGCCTGCCCCACACACCTCTCTCCCTCATCGGAGCCCCTCCCCGCCAGTTGCCCCATAACAACCTCTCTCACACAAACCCTGCCAATATCACCGCCACCATCAACCTGCTGCTCTCCTGCCCGTCCAAGCGACACGGGGCCGCTTCAGCCCAGCCCACGCCCCCCCTTCGCCCAGTTCTATTGGGGGGTCAGGGTCGGGACTCACACTCTGAAGCGGCCCCCAAGTCGCGGCCGCGCTCCTCCCTGCGCCGCCGCCACTGCTTCCTCCGGCCACCGCCGGCGCTGCCCCCCTCCGGGCTCCCCGTGCCCCCCCCGCCCGGCGTCCCGCTCGCTCCCCGCCCTGGGGCAGCGAGTGAGTGAGGGACCACCAAGCGGGGCAACGAGGGCGGGCCGGGGGGGGCTAAGAAGGAGGGGGAGGGAGGGAGCGAGGGGCCCCCTCGCGCCTTAGCGGCTCCCCATAGCAGCGCCCCGAAGGATCCCGGGCCGGTGAAGCGGGAGGGAGAGGGGGCGGGGAGCCAGGCGAGCGCAGCGCAGGAGCACGCGCGGCGGCAGCGGCGGCGGCGGCGGCACAGACGGGCCCGGGCTGCGGCAGCCAGATGTTTCCTTTACTCCCCTCCCTCTTTCCTTCCTTCCCCGACCAGTTTGCCTGACTGACAGCGCAGCCGGCCCACGGCGCATCGCCCTCCAATCAGAGCAGGAGGGCAGAGCTGATCGACAGTCAAAGCCCGCCCAATGGCAAGGGGAGGAAGCGAGGAGCACTTGGGGCTGCGGCTAATCATAGCTCTGGGGGGCGGGGCTCTTGCTCCACAGGCTGGGCGTCAAGCGAGTTGCCGGGGAGTGAGAAGGGGCGGGGATTTGTAGTCCCGGGTCAGTCCGCGCGTCCTTCTTTTCACTGCAGTCTCCTCGGCCTCGGGAGGAGCAAGTGAGGAAACAGCCTGAATCTTTCTCCCTGGGCGCAGTGCATGGTGGGGGAATCATGGCTCTGGGTCTCGGGTGCGCGAGGCAGAGAGCTGCGCGCGCGAAAGGCGCGGCCTGCCTGGAGGGTTGTCCCAGATCGAAGACTTGCTGGCGATCCAGTTCTACCTGCTGCTGGACGGCCGCCTCGTAGCTTTTCCAGATGCGTCTCTGTCATCTTTGAGAAAGGCAAAGGGAAAACGGTGCAACTTCTCTTACCGAGTTGTTCCGATGCCGAGTGGCTCTTTTAGCTTCTTTTTTACGGTTTTAACTTCTTTTTTACTGCTTTTTGCTTCAAGAGTTTGGCTTCTTATCACCGCTGCAGGAAATGGGACGAACTTTTGGGGGTGATCTTTAACATTTGAAAAGACTCAATCGAACCCCTGAAAGTACACAGGTGCACCTGTCCCCGTTCAGGGGGTGGGGGCTGTACCTACCGGACAGTGCCCTGCGTCGTTGACAGAAGCATTTCTGTTTCAAAACATATTGATTTGAATTTTGCTTCACTTAGCCTGTATTATCTTTATTACTTTCTGCTTAAAGAAATGACATCCAAAGCTGTCACTTGACCATGGAATCAAGAGTAAAGACTTTTTAAATCAAAAGGCATGATGTCCCAGCCTGGTATACTTGTTTAAAAGTTAAGCACCAGTTCTGAAGACAATAATCTATGTCTGTTACTTGGTGAGTCACTAGGCCAACAAGATGAATATGGTAAGGGACAAAATACTTTGATGGATTACACTTTTGCTCCAGGGATACTTCTTAATGAGGCTTTTACTGGTTGATCGCAATAGCTCAAACATGAAATTTTGCAAGGGGTGCAGATAATGTTGTCTCTGATCTTCAACCCTCTTGTGTATTCTTACTGCTTTATCTACCTTACCACCAAAGAAATGTTAATAAAAAGCATTACAGCTGCACAATGCTGTTTGAAAAGTGGCACTAGGAGCTATGAGAAAGCACCCCCTACACACACATCAGGACTGCCAGGTTCTTAAAATAACAACTTTGGGTGTCTTTTGGCATGAGTTTATGTGATTGAAGATACATGTAATCTTGTGCCTCTTATAAAACAAGTAAGCATCTTCCAAATAGACAACTGTTTTCTTAATCTTGGTGTGTTGTTTCTCCCCACTTGTTTGCTTGTTTGTTTAGAGAAAGCTCAATTAAACAGAACTGGAGAGTTGTGTTTTGCTCTCCTACAGGTCAAGGAGTGGCTGCTTTCCAGGCTTTTCTTCACTCAATGAGTCTTCTGAGGTTAGGTATAATTAGGAAAGGAACTGAAAATATAAACACCAAGCTCATGCTGCTTTTATGCAGTTTCATATATCTAAAAAGTATTGCACCTAGAGAGCTTTGACTGTTGAGCAGTATAGAAAATAAATAAATAAGCTCTGTGATGAGGAGAGATTACAATAGGTGGATTCGAATCACGCAGAAATCCACTCTGCAAATAAGTTATGCATGGTGGGTTGTCCATGGAAAAACCCACAGTGTGTCAGACAGACAGTTGGGTTTCCTCTGGCTTCTCCCCCTGACCCTGATCCTTTTGTGAGTATCCCAGGGACCTGCATGACAGAACTTGTCTTGCCCAAACTCCATGGCTTATTTTTCAGGTTCCCTCCTCCATTTATTACTATCCCCATCCCCCAGAGATCACATTTTACAATCTCTGAAATGACAACCCAAAACAGCCCCACTGTGAGTGTGGCGAAGTGAAGAATGAGCGCTCAGCAAGAGCAGCAAGGGGGTTTGTGTAAAGAAGGAGGGGGGTGGCAGGCACATATGCAGTCCTGAATTCTGTGTATGCCCCTGTCACACCCCCTCCAAAAAAAATCTGCTTAGCCCTGTGAAAATCCATGTTTTAACATGAACCTTTTTGAAATCTGCCAAACTCAGAACAAGGAGAAAGCAAGTGAGTGCTAATTGGACAGTTGGCCAAGCAGCAGTTGCTGGTGGTGGACCTGGTGATGATGGGAAGGGTGGCTTGCTCAGCACTTTCTTGGAGCCATGGGATCTGTCTTTTGGGTTTAGACAACATGCCTAACCCATTGTGGGTCCAAGAACCCCAAGAACAAACCATAATGCTGTATTGCTCTAAAAAGCCACCCTCAAGGAAGCAGTCTGAGTTTGGATCGCATGACAACCCTAGCTATTCAGAGTTGTCCTCCCATTTGATCCTAATCAAAATATGGGGCTGTTTATCTTAGAGGAAGGGAAGGGTATGGGTAATTTTGTACATGATAAAAATGTACAAAATTGTGCATGGAGTGGAGAAAGCTAATGTACATTTTTTTTTCTTCTAATACTGGAATCTGGGGTCACCCATTAAAGTTGACTGGTGAGAGATACAGGCCAGATAGAAGGAAGTACTTCTTCACACAAACTTTAATGAAAAAGATGGAATAAAGTACCAGCTGTAGTGACCACCACCACTTTGGAAGTTTTAGAAGGGAATTAGGCAAATTAATGGGGAGTAAGGCTATTCATGGCTACTAGCCTTGATGGCTATATGCTGCCTCCTAAACTGAGGGCAGTACACTTACGTACAGTTGCTGGGGAATAGGAACAGAAAGATGCTATTGTGTTGATACCCTACTTGTGGGCTTCCCACATGCAGCTGTTTGACCATTGTGTGAATAAAATACTGGACTGGACTGAGTTTTGGTTTGATTCTGCATGGCTCTTACTCATTTGCTGTCACTGGGTGTGACTGTTGCATACTGTATCATTACATACATTGAAGCAAACAACACTAAACCAAGATCACATGACTGAAAACAACAATTACAGCATCATTTAAGCATACCAAACAAAACACTGGTTTTACCAAAAAAAAAAAAAGGTAGTCTTATAGGTTGATGTGGTGGTGGGTTCAACATTTAAAGATAGTCTAAAGAGAAACATCATTTAGTTCCTATCTTGGTATTGTTAGTTTATTTTTAAGATTGTTGTTAAATTGTTGTATATTATTATGTGGGCCAATTAGCCAAAGCCTGCTATAAAATATTTTCATCAATTTAAAAAATGAGCATTTCCAGAGAAACTTAATTTAACTTTCTTGTTGTGTCCTGCCTTAGCTAAATTCGGGGAGAGAGAAGCTTGCTGGTCCAGATGCTACAGTAATATGCTGGTAAGATACGAATTAAAAGAAATGGAGTGCATCCGCTGTATGACTAGATTGGCCACTATTCTGCAAAACAGTTCCACATGCTTAAGTCCCACTGATGCATGAGTAAACTCTTTCAATTGTGGATACTCTCAAGTGGAAACACCCAGAAATGTAAAATCGCTCCCACCTTGGTTTCCTTATTTTCAACAGAGTTTTGTAAATTCCTTTGTGTCTATGATGACACATTACAGCTGTGTTGCTAGTGCCACTTTCTTCTGCATATCACTTTCATTTAAATAATTCTGTATTTGAGACCATGAAGTACCAGAAAGATGACAGCAACGGCAACAGAGCTGCCAAGAACCCATGCAAAAAATTAGTAGGAGAGAAAGGAGGATCCTGGAAAGGGAAAGCCAGTCAGGAGAAGACCACAGCTTGGGCTATAGGTCAGCAAGGTTTTCCTTCTCCCAAAACTCAGTTCTCTGAAATTTGACTTCTGATCTCAACTTTGTTCCAAAGCATTCCTCTGTTGTGAGGTCTGCAACTGATTTTCTTTTTAAAAAGAATTTAGATTAGTAAATTTTCCAACATGCAACAAAGATCATTGTTTCAGATGATGGACACTGAAATTCTTCATGTCTTGAGATTGGACTATTTCATTATACACAATATTGAGAAGTGAATAACCTTGCTTTCTTTGAGAATCACACATTATGACAGAAGGATGATAAACTGAACATAATAAACAAATAAATGCATAATCCCAATGTTTTAAAACATCCTGTAGAGTCAAGTGATGCAGGAGAATGCCTATATTATTGCTCTTCTTTGACTGGAGATAACAAAGGAATTCCCCTTCCCTCTGATCAGCAATTGTACAGGGAATCCAATCTCAGCAGGGTGCATGGCTCAGGAAAGCAGGGACTGGGGTCCGTGGAGAGAACTTGATAGACCAGATTGGGCCCACCGGGATGGGAACTGCCCTCCCTTTCTGTTGGCCAATGGTGCAACTAGGTAAAATGGTATTAGGACTCAAGTTAGATCCTGCAGGTGTCTGCTAAGGTGAGTTGGTGCAACATACACAATGAGGGGAGGGGAAGCTGACTCCCAGCTCATGCTTTTATGTCTAAGTAGTTTTTTTAAAACCATTCTTGTCCTGCTGAAAATTGTTTGCTGTCACAAGAAAATGAGCTAAAAAGGGGTTTCACAGGAAAGTGTGAGCAGCTGAGAGTTTCGCTCCCCGTTGCTTGCTTGAACGTACTGCACTTTAAATTGCACACAGAGATCATCACTTTGTAAGGATTTGGTGGCAGACCAGATTCTGCATAAGTTTGCTGCTGTCATGTCGTCTTTGTCCCTAAAACTCTGTGAGAAAAAAAAATTAAATACAAACAGGAGCTGTTTAGCTAGAGTGCATTTTTTTCTGTGCAACATCTGGCAATACATCTGGCCTCTACATACATTTATAAAACACCTTTCATGTCAGGCATCTCTAGGTAATACACAACAAGCACAAAAAAAGTGATGAGTTTTCATATGCCAGAACAGCAACGCTTCTCATTGACTGTAAAACAAACTAATCCTGTTATCTCCAGAAATAAAAATATCATTTGGGGTGATGTATTATAGTGAATCTAGGAAAACTCTCCCACCTTTAAATATGCCAGCTTCAGCTTATAACCCCCAAGCGACACTAAGTCTGAAGCTTGCTGGTTTAGACTCATGCTGACATTGCAACATGGAACTGAATGTGCACACGGAGGTGATGGGTGGTATAATAGCTTTGTACATGTAACATGTTATATGTTTTGGAAATCATCTTAAATATACTGTCTGAACTGAGGTATCTATTGTTATTGTACAACAAGTGGAACTATGCTGAATATAGCTTTATAACTCTAGCATAAAATTGAGCTTTCCATTGTATAACTGAATTAGTTTTAAGCCCTGCATCTTTTTTAAGTGATGCTTGGAATTGTAAAGGGCATCTCTTTAATCCCTTGAAACTGCCTTCTTGAAAAAGTTTAAACTAAAACAAGCCTCTAAATACAGGCTCCCATATTTTACAGAATAATGGAGTGCTAGCTGTTCTGCAAATTTTTATACAACAGTGAACGACTGGTTGATTTTATTCAAACGTCATTTTAATTGCTAATATTATTTGCTTATTTTATTCTTTGGCCAGGGTGACTTATTTTATATTGTTAATTCATTTTATATTTTTAGTGTATTATATTTTAATTGATGTTTTGTGAGCCGCCCCGAGGCTTCGGCAAATGGGGCGGCATAGAAATTTTCTAAATAAATAAATAATAGATAGTAATTTTCTTTGGAATCCACCTCAAATAATGGGTCTGTATTTGTATGGTGCTCTGCAAAGCAGAGCTAGTCCATTGCAAAGATATAATAAAAGGATATAGTATATGAAACCAGGTTTATTTGTTGTCTCCTGTTAAGTCTTTCAGTGTATGGCTTCATATTCTGAAGGTCAGGAATTTAAGGGATGATGCTGTTCTATGTGTTTAGAATTCCCAGCAGCAAACCTCAAGTAATTCTGGCCAGCAGATCCTTGATTATATCCCAAGATCTAGAAATGTGTGCTTATGTGGCGTTATTCATACTGTATGATTAGATTCCAAAAGGGCATGATTGAAGTCTATAAAGCAAATGTAGGGGAAGTGTAAGCAAATGATCATTACCTATACCCCTCTTTAGGTCATCAGGGCAATACTGAATGAATAAAGACTTGATAATGGAATCCTTGTGGTCGATTTCAGCATACATCTATTTCAGTAATTTATCTCACATAGTAATTTCTATTAAAACAACCCAAACACGCATCTGCAACATCTTTATAATACAGTGATAGAGACATGAAATGTACGGTGACCAGCAGCTCAGCTGGAACTGCTCAATAGGGGAGAGTTTCCAAGTATTTGGCTATGTGAATGTGTTTTTGGGCTGCTCAGTCCAAATCTGCCTCACTCAAGCAGTGAACTTCAGCGTTTCCCCTGAGACCAAGAGCAGCAGTCAAGATAGTAGTACCAACTACCCAACAGCACCAAATGGCCCCAACATCAGATGAAAAGAACTTATAAAGGCAGGTTTCTTATACTGTGTTTATCACGTCTTAAGAATATGACTAAAAGCAGCCTTTGTAGCTTCAGCGTCAAATTGTCCCCCCGCCCCCTGCCCCCCGCCCCCCGCTTCAACCTTGCCCTCCCCACATCCCACTTAGCTCAACATGCAGTTTAATTAATTGAACTGGATGCCTTGCTCGATAGATGGTTTGTTTGTTAGTTAGTTTGTTTGTTTTATTTGATTTATACCCTGCTTTTTACACCATTCTGCTTCTGCTGCTCTCAATCTTATCCCCGCAACAAGCCTGTGGGGTAGGTCAGGCTGAGAATCTGTGACTGGCCCAAAGTCACCCAGTTGGCTGCATAGCTGAAAGGGGGCTGGAACCCAGGTCTCCTGAGTGCCCATCCCATGCTTTTAGTCAGTATACCTCACTGGCTCGCCACTGATATTTTGAGTGATCCTTTTCCCAACTGTGAATTTAGGGATTTTTCCTATGGACTAACATGGCATCCTCTTTTTAAAATGTATACAACAAGTGATATGTTTCACTGGGCATGCTTCTATTAGTATAAACTTCTGTTTATTTTTTAAAAAATCTGTATCACTTTTCAAAAAAACTTGCAAAGTGGTGATACACCTAGTATGAGATGGAATTGTCTTTTGGCTGTAATGCTTATCTCTGAATGAATTCATTAGTCTTCAAGATTCTATAGGACTTTCTTTGCTAATGTTGTGTTGGAATGGCTAGGGTCTGGATATGATGTAGACTCTGGGTGCTGGTGGGGTGAAGAATTCCACAGTGGGCCCTTGTCTTTGAGCATCCCATACCGAAAACAATTATTTATTTATTTAGAAAATTTCTAGGCCGCCCCATTTGCCGAAGCCTCAGGGCGGCTTACAAATAAATAAATTAAAATACATAAATAACAATATAAAATACATGTAACTGTATAAAATAAGTCGCCCTGGCCAAAAAACTTTAAAATAAAAATAACATTAACAATTCAAATGATGCTTGAATAAAAAGGTTTTCACCTGGCGCCGAAAAACAAATAACAACGGCGCCAGGCGGACCTCTCTGGGAGCGCATTCCATAGATTGGGCGCCACTGCAGAGAAAGCCCTCCTCCGAGTACCTACCCTCCTAATTTCCTTCACGGACGGTTCCCGGAGAAGGGCCTCTCCCGCTGATCTCAGGGGGCGGGCGGGCATATATGGACATAAGCGCTCCTTCAGGTAGCCAGGACCCAAGCCATTTAGGGCTTTATAAGTGATCACCAACACCTTGAATTGGGCCCGGACTTCAATGGGAAGCCAGTGAAGCTGACGGAGGACTGGAGTCATGTGAGCTGTCCCCGTCAACAGCCTGGCAGCTCTGTTCTGCACCAATTGAAGTATCCGGACCGTCTTCAAGGGTAGCCCCACGTAGAGCGCGTTGCAGAAGTCAAGTCGGGAAGTCACCAACGCATGTGTCACTGTCACCAGGCAGTCGTACTCCAGGTAGGGGCGCAGCTGATGGATCAGCCGAAGCTGAAAGAAAGCGTTATGTGACACTCATGAGGTGAGGAACAAAGGTTCTTATCTGCTAACTTTCATTACCAGAGAGAAAGAAATGGTCAGTCATTGAAGAGCATAATAGTGAAGTAGATTTTGACTTAAACAGAAATAAACAAGATTGTTGACCTTTTTGTTCTAGTACATCACCTATGCTGTTGAAGCTGCAGAGACATCAGAGAAACGGGCAGCTTCCCCCATTACTCCATCTGCATGCTAACTAGGGCTGTTACATAACCATCTCTCAAGCAGCTCTCAAAGCTGCAGGACCCCTGTTGAATTAAAAGAAATGTTAACTTTGCATAGGAGCAACAGGCTATGCACTGGTTGCTGCTGGAGGCTTTAAGTGATGGTGCATAAGGTCAATGGACAGAGAACTTCCAGTTGTGCTTATTGAATGGCCATCCAGTTATCTGTAGAGCAGTGGGACACAGGCATAGCCAAGCAGTTCAGACAGAAGCTGCAACAGATGGTTCCTAAAAGTAGGAGCTCATTAGGTATCAGTCAGGGCTGAAGCCTTGCTATTAGAGTCATTAGGAGTCAGTTGAGGTTTAGGCATGGAATGAGTCTAATCAACCCTGGTCATATTTTGAGGGAAAAGCCAGAAAGACTACATTATCAATGGTTCTCCTTAATCTCTGTATCTTTCAGTGTGATTGGTCATGGTATCCCTCTGGAGCAATTGTCTGCACTGGGTATGGAAGCACAGCTATGGCATGTTCATACCTTAATGATCATTTCCAGAAGCTTGGGATTTATTCCCAGTCCATGGCAATTGGGGTCCTTGAGTGTTCCACTCTAACCCGCATGCTATTTAATATCTACATGAAAATGCTAAGTGTAGTTATCAGGGAAACTGGAGTCCAATGTCAACAGTATCCAGATGATTCTCCTAATTCTCCTTTTCCTTTAATTCAGGTGAGAAGATGTGAGTACTGAAACAGTGCCTTCAGTCTGTCACATTAGAGGTAAAGGTAGCCTATCTGTTGCAGGGTCCTTCTGTATCCCTGCTATGACTGTACCTGATGTGAATCACCCGTGATCCATGCTTTGGTAACTTCCCATTTGGATTACTGAAATGTGTTGTACACAGGACTGCCTTAGATGACAATTCCAAAACTTCTGTTGGTGGTACAGAATATATTGTACTGGATAGATAATATTCCAGTCCTTATCATCACTGTCTTCCATTTAGTTTCTTATTCCAATTTAAACTGCTGGTATTGACCCATAAAGCCTCACACACTTTGGGCTCTCAGTACCTAACAGAATGCCCTGTTTTTGCGCCAAGTTATTCAATGGAGACCTTTCTATAAGTGTCCCCATCATCTGCAGTTCACAAGGTAGCAACAAGAAGTGCCTTGTCAGTGATGACGCTTCCCCAGCTGCAGAACGCTCTCCCTAGAGAGGCCCACCTGACACTTACAGCAACCTATTTTTAGCACCAGGCAAACCCCTTTTTGTTCATCCAGTTTCTTACCATCATTTAATATGTTAAATGAGTTTGAATTTAAAATTGATAATGGATCATTATTTTGGTTTCTCCTCTGGCAGGGAATTATTTTTTTACCTCTGATAATGACTTTTAGGCTTATAACCCCTTTTTGTGTATCTAGATCATGCTCTTGATGTTGTATTTCGTTATGCAATTGTTTTATTGTGTTATTATTAAGTTCATATCTTGATTTTGTTGATTAACTTGTTGTATATCACCTAGAGGATGAGATTAATGGATGACCAAGAAATGTAAATAAATAAATGCCAAGCAATTGCAAGAAGAAGCTGCCACCAAGGTGCTTTTCCATGTAGGCATGCCTCATCCCAGCTTCCTAGTTGGGTCACTACCACCCATAGTGATGGATATATGTGAGGATTCACCTTTGTTGGAGAATGTATTTTTGCTATGGCAGTATTCATCCATTGTTACTAGAAGGAGCTGCAAGCAGCTCCATCTGTGGTTCCTGCTTGAGCCACTGAAAGTCTCCTGGTGAGGAAGCATATATCTAAAGTGTTTTTGGGCAGCTGGCCAACAACTGGAGTAGACAACTTATAATCAAAGGTGGCTGTGTTTCTGAAAATGCCTCTGTGTGTCTGGTGGGGACTTACCTTGTTTTTGGAGTTTGTGGTCAACAGACTCTCCTTTATGCACATAGCATGCTAATTATGTGTGAGCTGTTGAGCAAAAGAGGGTTATTAAAACAGTACACTGCTTCTTTTATTTGCAAGTGGTCAGGAGGACACTTAGTGACCGTGGTTGTTTGGGTGGTTAAGAACTTAAGAAGAACCCTCCATAGATACATGAACTGGATTCCTTGTATGAGTCTCCTATACCACTGAAGCTGTGGACATCATGTGGAATTAGCTGGAATCGTACCGCAGTTGTGACAGGTGGGGCCTGGGGCAGCTGCTTCTGGTGCTCCACGAACTACAGTGGATGGATATACGTTCAAACAGATCTTTTATTTTCTTAAAAATCAGTTGCAGGGAGGTGTAATTTTCTTGTGGGTAATAATAGGTTCTGACTAAACTGGCCATTCCTCTAATCTTTGCATTTCATGCTCCCAAATTCAATCATTTTTTCTCCTTTACATGATCGTAGTTACCCTAGTGTAGGACTTAGACTGATCTGAGATTATGATAAAATAATAATGTCATTAGCTGATATAATCTGGACGTTACACAAGAATGTGGAATTCTTTTACAATCCTATCATCAGCTAATTTGAGAGTAGGATTGAGTAGCATTGTACATTTAGTTTGTTTTACTGACACTGCTGCTGCATTTTTGTAACTTTTTAAAAAATCTGGTTTGAATTCCAAATTCCCTGAAACTGCCTAATGCTTATGCTGCATTTCATTTACTGCTGTAGCTGATTACGGAGACAGAAGCTGTCTTCTTCCAATCAGTATGTCTGTGTAGCTCAGTTCATTCACCAACTTGTCTAATTGCATTATGCCATATGTTATTATTTGGTATAAAAGGTAAAGGGAAAGAGAGGGCATGCACAAATGTGCACAAAAGTAGCAGAACTCAACAACACAGTTGTCAAATGTAATGCAATAGTGTTATCTTATCTGAATGCACTGGGAGGACATGAAACTATTTGTAATTTAAAAACTGTTGAAACAGAGGTCCTAGATAACCAACCTTATTTGAAGCCATTAGCAAGACCTACAAAGATAGGAGGCATATGTTCAAAATAAGCATATTTTGCTGAGGAGAGGAGAAACAAGTTTAGAAGAACAGAGAATAGTCTGGGAGCGAGTACCATCCTGTACACTCCTACCAGTGTGCAACAAGGGAAGCAGTTCACACCTCCATGACTAGCTAAGAAGCTTTAGTACACAATCTCAGACATGCTTAGAAGGAGAAAAAATCCTACAACTCCCAGCATGCTCCAACCAGCCATGCTTGGTAAATCAAAAGTTTGGTACTTTCTTCAGTACCCAAGAAAGAAAGCAGGGAGAGGGAAAGGCTAAACTTCCTTCTCCCACTGGCAGCAGGCCAAGAACAAGGGCTTGTCTATGTAGGGCAGGACTTCTCAAGCTTCTCAGAATTGTGTGAAACCTTCATGGGCACCAGCACAAAATAACTCATGTAACAGGCAAGGGTAGACACAATACTGCAAGAAACTAAGTCAGCGAAGTAAATAAAAAATGGTTCACAGTTTATTTACATGATCTTTACAAGGAACCCTTTCCCCGCTCAAATCAATTTCACATTAAACTTTTCATTAATAGCTATAGGTGGCATGATAAAAATTAGACATCTGGTGCTTGCCAGCACTATCATATCACAAAAATGTGGATCCTTGGCATGCTTCTTCATGGAACTTGATGCTGTTTCCATGGACTACCACCAAAACCACCATCAAATCACATAACACATCTAGTAAAACCATGAGGAGCCATAAGGATCTCTGCGTGACAGTCCTAGCAAGTCCCAGATCAAATGTTTTACTCTTTAGTCTATATATGCCCATGTGAGTGTTAATTCGATGGAGGATTCCAGTGGTGGGTGGGAATGCCATGTAAAACCATGAAAATTCAGGAAGACCCATTTTAATTTAACTGCATCTGAATGTTCTCTAGATACCATGGGAAGAGCAGGTCATTACTGCAGTGTATGTGAAGTGTCTGAAGCGCTTCTCTTACTTTCACAGTATATAGACTCAAAAGTGTGTACTTGTGCTCTGACTTCCCTTCCACTCCCCTATTTGCTCTGCTTTTCCTCCACTGCAATCTTTTACTAAAGTGATCGACACTTTTATAGAAGAGCCACACAGTTCCTTTCTGAGGCAGGGTGTGGTCATCTTAACCACCCAGTATCCATTGCCTAATGACAAAGTGCAGAACATTTGTGGGAGCTAATATGGCTCCTATCTGCCTTTCATTCAGACATTCAGAAATGCCTCCGCTGCCTGCCTTTATGAGGATGTATGGGGAATGGGCACTGGGAGCATTGCAAGCACTAAGACATGTGGGTCGTCATGGTGCTCATGGGCACTACATTAAGGAAAGCAAATATCCAGGTTTCAAAGTGTCTTCAGAAGGTTTCATTGATTGCAACAAAGATGCATTCAATAGCTGTTACTTCTCCTGTAACTGCAATGCTGACATGGAAACACATTTAGGGACACTATGATGGAAGAACCCTTATCTCCTGAAATTTCCCCGCTGTAGAAGAGTTCTCTTTGGAGCAGTTTTGGCAAGCTATTATGCACATGCATGCTGCTTTTTGTACATGAGTGTAAGCACATGTACTTCATCAAGTAACTGAGCTAGTAAAATATAAAGAAAGGTGGGGCATCCATACCAGACTTTGACATTATACCTAACAAAGTGATACCTCATTTTCCAGAGGAGGAAGACTAGGTGAGCCATGGGCTGTGGCATTGTGCATGATGAGCAGGCTTCTCTTTCATCATATCTCCAGTGGAAATGTTATCACGCTTCAAGGTGTTGCTGACTTCAGCGGCAGGAGAGAAATTACATAGCCTTACTGTTCCTGTGTTCTTTTCTGAGCATCGTGGCATCATGGGGAGCATCTCCATTGGGAAATGGTGCAAAATGGAGGTGGGATCAACCCTCTGCCCCAACATGTTGACCTGATCCCAATCTCCCTGTTAATGTGTAGAAAGGAGACAGGCATTTGTGTCAGTCAAAGACGTTGTGGAAAAAGTGGATTCTGAGCTTTGCTCTGTATGGGAGGGAGGGAGGGATGGAGGTCCTACACAAACTTTTCCCAACCTGTTTGAGAGCAATAAACCACTCTGATAAACCACATGAGGATTACTGTATCTATGATGAATTGTTGTGTTGCCCTGAACCTGGGCAGTTGATCCTATTGTGGTACAGGGAACCAATGTCACACTTGGCAAGATTTGTAAAAGCTGCTTTCTGCTCTTGTCAACCATGCCTTAGTGCAAATACCCACAGGAGTACTGAGCAGGAGGAAGGAGCCAGCAACCCAGGTTATCAGATGCATCATAGGTTGTTTACACAATAACTCACCTGGTGGATTATTGACAGGTTGGGTTGGTGTGACATGTAAACGCACACACTGAGATCTGAAAAACCATTATACTTGTTTTTTTAAAAATCCTATCTTTAATAACTTAGTTTAAAAAACCATGTTGCTTTTCATACACTGTGTTGCAGAAATAAGATAAGTAAGGGGAAAAAGAGTTCCTACTGGAGGAACTAACTTGTCTGGTGTTAGAGTGCATAAATATAGATTTAGATTCTTCACTTGTTTTTTGGAGGCCACCTCTTCAGGAGTTAAACTGGCTCAAGCTTTCTGGATTTGTATGGATAATTTGGTATCAGATGCTGTGATAGTTGTTGGAAAAAGACTTTGGAATTGCATGAACAAATTTATCCTGAGATGGTGAACGCATCAAAGATGATATTTTCATTTGCATGATTTGCTGGCTTTTATGTGACAGATTCAAGAACATCAGGCTATA